ACCTTTCAATCCCACTTTTATGTTATGTTATTTAGACGGACCATAGTCCGCCTGGTGTCACATAGTTGCCCAAACTAATAGATACCACACCCTAATACCATACTACACCATACCACAATATGAATGCTAGCTTAATATATGGAAATAATAGTTTCGGTTGTAAGTTTCAAAGAGGGCATTTTAAGTCGCCGCGTCCATAAGACCTGACTCACCAATTATAATTATTATTAAAAATTGATTCACTTATTTGCCTATGTAAACTTAAAGCACGAGCATTATTTCCAACTCATGTCTTAATATGACCACTTAACTTGGACTTGACTCAACAAATTCCAGTAATAATAATGTTAACACTAAAACCATACCACGTTCTTATCCAAAGCTGTACAAAAATAAACACAGCATAATAAAACACAATATAACAAAGATAATCTTACGCTTTAGTTTTCGGAATGATCTCTGAAGTACTTCCCACGGAGAAACTTTCAAGCTTTCACGGAAAAGCTCACACAGAAAGTTCATCTTCCCGTTTGTTATGAAATTTTATTAAGAAAATACTTTCCTACCTTCCTGTATGAATAGCTAAATGTTTTGTTTCATGAAAATAATAATCAAGCCTACATTTAAAGCTTACGCTCCGCTTAATCTTAAGTGCTTATTGAAGCGCAAAGGTACCGTAAAGCAAATGTCCTGAGACTTTATACATAAGTATCGATTGGATTTTAATACCGGAAAGAATGACGGCCAGGAATATTATTTAACGGCCGTCTGGTGTAGTGGTAAGTGACATGGTCACTACACAATGGGGTCACGGGTTCGAATCCCGCCAAGGGAAGGTATTTGTATGATAAATATAAATGTCTTTTCCAGGGTTATGGATGTATATTAAATATATGTATGTGGGAAGGATGTTTTATTGAACGCATGATATGATGGATGCAAGTTGATGTTTGTGAACGCAGCGGTATATCGACAATGGAAGGGGATGACGTGTGAGAATGACAGATAGATGAACGACGACGAACGAAGCACGAAGCACGAGCACGACGAAACGATTGTAATTTTAATTTATAGTGCTTTAATAAAACGTGGAAGTAGTAAACCCGAAACTTTTATTAATTGTCTGAAGCCTGCATCCCACATGTATGTGTATAATAAAAATCTTACATTTATTTCCGTTATCTGGTACCTGTAACACAAGCTCTTTACGAACTTATCACGGGACCAGTTAACGTGGCGTGATTGTTAGTAAATATTTATTTATTTATTTATTTATATTAACTTGATCGCATGATACGAGTACACAGTGCACCTCATCCTCTAGGCTCCGATGAGCGATTCATGGAACAAATAGCTTTGTTAAGATTTAAATGACGAGAGCTGCTCTGTAATCTATACTAATATCGTAAATACGAAAGTAACTGTTTCTGTTACGTTTTCGCACTACAGCCACTAAATTAATTGTGAAATTCGGTATGGTAATAGTTTGGATCCTGAGAAAAATTATAGGCTACCTTTTATCCCGCGAATGAGCAGGGCTCTTCGCCTACGCGATATGGAATATAGTCCAAGCGCACGTAGCTGCGGATGGTAAACTAGAATTGTAATTTAATTTTTTTTTGTACAGGAGAAATGTGTAATTTGAGAGTTGAACCTCACCAAAAACTCCTGCCGCTCACAGCCGGCACCCGACACCGAACCGGGCCGGAGCCCAGTCGGGACCATTGAAACGGCGGGACAGGTTTTACGCAGAGCATATTACATCCATCCCGCCATCTCTAAACGCCGGACGGCGCGCCGGCCGCCGGCGACACGACCTTGATGGCGCCGCACTGCATCTTCCCCCGGAGCGGTCGGGGGAACGCGGCCTAACATCACCTGGCTTCCTATCACGAGAGAGCGTGCCATGCACGCCGCCTGTACCTCTCCCTGCACAAAGCGGGTGGAGCCCGAAGCTCTTAGGGGGCTGGGTCACTGATGGGACCCGGTCTCGACCCCCTGCTCGGTGGCGGCAGATTTATGCATTGTGAGGAGAGCTTTGCCTCGCTCGCTTCGCCACCGCCTTCCGCGATATGGCGTACTCGCAAAAGTCGAGCATAGCTTTCCAGGACACGCAACCGCCAAGCAACGACGCTACGACGTCAGGCAGCGACAAATCCGGTCCTATCTTTGCGACCAGGACACGGCGTTGCACCTACCAAGCGGGGTAGACTGCTATATATGTAATACCCTTTATTCCAAGCGTTAGAATAAATGCCGATTTCATTGATTTTACATTAATTTACGACAAATTTCCGTAACCTAAATAATACTCAAATCATCGCTTTAGCGCTGAATCCGTAAGATAAGGGAAAAGCATTAAAGCAGCTTAAACCGCTAATCGCCCGATGAAAGAGATCGAGGGAAAAACCTCTGTATGCATTAAAAACGAAAGTCTTAACAGTTATTTATGAAAAATGGGTTACAAGTAGCTCCAAACAGAATTAAACTACAGAAGAACAGCATATTGCAAAATAGTTTTCACCAAAGATAAATTCTCAGAATGCTTTTTAGGTTCTGCACATGCTATATTAGGGCTGATCATCAATATTATGGCAGTATCCATTACATTTTTCTTTTATTTGTTAGTTTTGTTATTATACAAAGTACAGGCGTACCAGGAAAGTAGTAGTAGTAAAAGTGTCCTTCAAACTATTTTACATGGCTGGTTTTGTGCCAGTCTAGACTTCAAGCTTCTCGCAGTGTATAAAACAAATTACAAAAGTATATTGTTACATCTTTGTCTTTACCATACTATAAACACTGTAACCAATTTTTTATAGCAAAATTCAATTATTTCCAAACCCAGGGAAGCTCTTTTAAAATAGTTGATCTCACCTTTAATATCCTAACACTTGATTAATCTTTCATTACTTTGGTGAGTTTTTATATCCGTATCTACTCTGTAAAGAAAATAGTGTCTAAGTTGCTTTAACTTTGCAAATGGGGCTAAGTACATTTCTTACTTAAATTCTAAGTTATTAGGTAATAGAATATGATAAACAGATAATAGTAATAATAAAAATAAAATGGTTAGATATCCTGACGGCCTACCCGTTGTTAAATACATATTTTTGAAGCCTATAAACATGACAATGTGAATACCACTATCAACATTGAAGCACGAGTCTTAACTGTGTTTTGTGATAACAGATATTACATCCTTCAAACTGATAAGTTCGATTGCTTTTCCGTAGAAATGGCCTTGGTGGCACAGCCGCACGTGCTCAGGATACACCCTGCTATTACTAAAATGGTAGTTTCTGAAAGTGATCATATCCCCAAAAATTAATTAAGAAAATTTCGATTGTCCTAATCGTAAATTGAACACAAGAAAAATAAATAAAAACACGTTGGTAACTCGAAACAAATAAAAAAAGTGTGTGTGTCCGCTCCGACGCACGACTGGAGTTTACTGGATATAAAAAATTAAACGAAACAATACGAGAAATAGTTCTATATTACGACAACACGATACACTACAGATTATTAACAAATTAACGAGACACAAAACAAACGACTAACAAATATATGAAAATACAATAATGAGAGAAACGCGCGATCAGTACGAGGCTTTGTGGCGGACTGCCGGCGCATGTACTAGCATGTCACACGAAATGCGCATAACGCATTTCGTGTGACATGCTAGTACGATTTTGGTCCCCATAATTTTCATACCCCGGGCCTATATATGTAAATCGATTCTAAAGGAGTAAACTCCAAAAAAAAAAACCTTCTGAAATTGCCTTCAAGTTAAAAGAAGAATAGATATTTATAGCAATGGAACACATTTAGTACAATGACAGCTGCTGCTAGGGACGCACTCATTTCACGCTTGTTGGCCGACTAGATTAAAATACCTAACGAGAGGCTGTATGAGGTATGAAAATAATAATAGGTATTTTGTGTATCGGTATCCCGCTAATCTAGATTAGTGGAATTATGTCCAGAAACCACTCAAATGAGTTTGGTATTGATGAAAAACAAGCGTAAAGGAACCCAATTAGTATATGTTTTCTACGGTTCGAAGAATCAGCAGCCTGTATAAGTATAAGCCTGTATAAGTGGGTAACGTTGTTGTAACGTTTCTATTAATCACTTACAATAGGCAACAGATCAAAAGTACGTTTGATAAATTTACCTTTCTGGTAGCTAATAATGTCTACGCTACCTAACACGATAATGTTAAAAAGTCAGTTAAAAGGGGTATTAACTAAACTGTGTTGGTATTCATATAACATAAAATTGAAGATCAATGGACGCGTTGGGTATGGCGTGTTGAGAAAACGCAGTGTCCGTCAGGAGTTTTTGGGTTCACAAATGTTAAATATGAGGTTTAGTAAATGAATATTGCTACCCATGTACGTATTATATGCCTGGTAGTGGTTTTTAGCCCGTGTGATTTTGGGCTCTCATCGCAACCTATTGCACGCACCCTCCAACGTAAGCTGGCGAATATTAAAGAATTCAAGATTCCTTGATGTTTTTTATAGCCTTGATGGGTGGACGAACTCACTGCCCACGTCGTGTTAAGCGGTAACCGGAGCCCATAGACATCTATGGCATAAATGCCGCCACCGACCTCGAAACATGAGTTATAAGGTCTCAGTTTTACCAGTACAATGGCTGCCTCACCTTTCAAACCGAAACGCATTACTACTTCACGGCAGAAATAGGCGGAGTGGTGGTACTTTCCCGTACGAACTCATAAGACGTCTTGCCATCAGTAATTACGCAAAATAAAAATTTTACGGGTTTGATTTTTATCACACGGTGTTATTTCTTCACCGTGGATGTAAATCGTGAACAATTTTACGTATTTCATCAGGAAAATTGGTACCCGCCTGCGGGATTCGAACACCATTGCATCGTTGTCTTCACGAATGCACCGGATGTCTTATCCTTTTAGGCCATAACCACTTTGAAATGTATGCAGGTAAACTATTGAAAACTGTACTCACCCATGATAAGCATGATGACGGGCAAAGTAGATAAGCAAGCTAGAAACACTGTCATCAGAACTGCAACAAAATATGATTGAAGGTCACATTAGTACGCGTAAGAATTTTGAAAAAGAAGAATCAAAAGGCAAGACATATACATCTCCCTCCTGATCCCCAAGTTCATCCAATAATCCTGGCTAAGCAATAAGGTCTCCAACATCAAAATGAATCCTTCCATCGCAAAAAAATGGGACTGCTCCTCAGCTGATTTTTAATTGAGATCTGTGTCTCAATTGTAGAGCATGGCTATTTTCTCACTCTTTCACGGCAGAAACAATTAGGATTGCGTTATTTAACCGTGTGGGCTCATAAACCATCCCGTCACCAGTAGTGACGCTAGTTATAATTATGATATTTATTACTAGATGTTAGTCCTTCACTGCGGAAGCTATTTGCGAACATCTATTAGGTACATATTTCATCAATTTGGTACCTACAAGCGGTATTTGAACACCGGCTCAGTCGTATCACTCGGTATGCGTACACCGGACCTCTTATCCTTTAGGCCACAATGATTTCAGACGTACACTGTTGTTGAACATAAAGATTATTATGTCTGAGTCACGATACTGCCTGACTCTAACTTGTATGTCTATATGCGTAATCCACATTGTTACCACCTTCACTACCGTTAGCTACCTTTTTTTTATCTTAATAGATATAGACACGAAATAAGACGCAGGTCGGTATTCAGAAAACTAGTAGAGAAATTTTAAGCCATGTTTCTGGTTATCCAAAGATAAATGAAACATATCCTATTAATGAAATAATTGAACGATTAAACTAAAATTGAATATTGATAGCACTTTTTCTGAAAAATCCATTTGAAGCAGTAATCGAATTAAAGACCACAGAAATCAGAATAACTAATTTTAGTACTCAAGATTTCAACACATGATTGAGTTTTTTTTACAACATTACCATTAAATTTGAATAATTTAATTTAAAACTCACTAGTTCTATTCATAATCTTGGCGGCCCGACAGACGAAGTCCATGGTGCCAGAAGCTTCCATGTTGGCATCTTTTAGCTGATAAGCCACAGATCCATACGTCGTGAGCCCCACGCCAAGACCCAGTCCAACTCTCTCGTTGTATTTTGCCTGCTCTCCGCATAACCTTCGTTGCTCATCTCCTGAGACCTGATAGAAAACAAAAAGCTTGAAGAACGAATATGTTCTTTTGAAATAAATCAAATGAACATATTATGTTTAATTTACTGCTATCTATTCACGAGTTTCTCTATACGCCTTCCGGGTTCCTCATAGTCGCTTGACCGACTTGGAAAGTTAATTCGGCTCATAAGGCTAGTTCATTTTATAAATCACAAGTAATGCTCATTGAAGTCTTAAATAGAATAATTAAAATAGAAGTGTTAATTTTAAAAAGCACATTTATTGTTTAATCAGAGCCTAATGTACTAGTACCTACTGTAGTGGATTGTTTTCTTCCATAGTCTCACCATCACTTCTTTTTGTTTGTCAGTAACTCTTTATTATTGTTTTGGCATATGATGAGCAGATGAACTCACGATCCACTTATTGTTAAGAAACTATCGGATGCCATAGATGTCAGTCACAAATTGAAGATCGCCATCCACCTTGATACATACTGGTGGTAGGACGTCTTGTGAGTCCGCACGGATAGGTACCCCGCCTATTTCTGCCGTGAAGTAATAATGCGTTTCGGTTTGAAGGGTGGGGCAGCCGTTGTAACTATACTAAGACCTTAGAAGTAATATCTCAAGGTGTGTGGCAGCATTTATGTTGTAGATGTCTATGGGCTCCGGTAACCACTGAACACCAGGTGGGCCGTGAGCTCTTCCACTCATCTAAGCAATAAAAAAATCACATGAAGGGGGAGAATTTGATTTTATTTTCTTATTTATTTTATATTTCATATTATATATTTTATATTTCATATTTAAACCAGAGATCCGAACACACAGACCCTTTGTTGCAGAAGTAGGTACGATTATAAATCCACTATTATGCTGTACCACCAGTAAAAATTGGGGAGCGGCAAACAAAAATTTGGTTAGGAGAATGTTATTGAGAGAGAAGATGTTACTACTGTGGATGGGCTAGTAGGAGTTGGAGCCAGCTGACTTCATACAGTTTGTTATTATTATTTTTTATTTTTTTATTGCTTAGACGGGTGGACGAGCTCACAGCCCACCTGGTGTTAAGTGGTTAGTGGAGCCCATAGACATCTACGACGTAAATGCACCACCCACCTTGAGATCTCAGTATAGTTACAACGGCTGCCCCAGCCTTCAAACCAAAACGCATTACTGCTTCACGGCAGAAATAGGCAGGGTGGTGGTACCTACCCGCGCGGACTCCCAAGAGGTCCTACCACCAGTAATTACGCAAATTGTAATTTATATTAAGGTAGTCAACGGAATGGCCCTCGCGTTGCTGATGTGACGATACTCATCTGCCTAAAAAGGCATTATTCAGATAAGCAACTGACCTGGCTAACAGAGCTGGATGCCCTTCGAGACCCAGTATCTGACAGAGCTCCAGTGCCGCTCTGTCGTCCGCCGAATGACGCTCTGTACGGAGACACGCTTCTTCCCTTACCTGCATCCAATACCGTTACTTGTATCAAAAACCACAAAAGTCATGCTTTACATCACTAGGCCTCTCGTGGTATTTTGTTATCAAAAAGTCACATTGATAGTGGATTGTGCGTTCGTGAGTGCTTGGAAAGTTCATGACATCAATGACTACTTCGAAATACACCACATCACTACTGTCAAAAATCAGACTAACACTTTATGAGTTTTTAATTAGATAATACAATAAAGTTATTAATTAGCACAACCACTACAAAGTGAATATCATTTTAGATAATGAGATATAAGCATAGGCAATTTTTTTTATTTCTTAGGTTGGTGGACGAGCTCACGGCCCACCTCTGGTGGTAGGACCCTCTAGTGAGTCTGCGCGGGTAGATACCACCACCCTGCCTATTTCTGCCGTAAAGCAGTAATTAATTTCGGTTTGAAGGGTGGGGCAGCCGTTGTAACTATACTTGAGACCTTACAACTTATATCTCAAGGTGGGTGTCTCATTTACGTTGTAGACGTCTATGGGCTTCAGTAACCACTTAACACCAGGTGGGCTGCGAGCTCGTCCACCCATCTAAGCTAAAAAAAATGAAAAACCTGAAGTTTAAGTGTTAACAGAGTTAAATATCTAGAACGTGAATTCCGCCACCCACCTTGACATATGAGTTCTAAGATCTCAGTTTTTTTAATACATTGACTGTACTTCAACAATGATTTCTCTGACCTTTAAATTACAAATAGAGAAGGCTGAGCGGCAGAAATATAGAGCGGCGGATAGAAGTAGTAGTGCTTGCAACAAAACCTACCATCGTTCTTAAAATAGAAACTAGTCTTTGCTAAATAAGTAAAACTTACATATACACCTCTTGTCAAAACGTGACACATGAATTGTTGATTACAAGCTCTCGAAAGCTTTTTCGTCTGATATTTAGTCTTCAAACGTTTAAAACTGAGTAATATGTCACCTATTCTGTTTGTTCGTGTGGTCTCGCGACATTCTTGTTGATATTTCAGAGAAATATTTTTTTCATAGTACCACAAAGAATATCACTCTTAAAGCACCCGAGTTATATCAACAAAAAGGTATATAGTATATATATAGTACATTTTATATGTATATATTATATTTGAAGGGTGGGGCAGCCGTTGTAACTTAGAACTTATATCTCAAGGTGGGTGGCGTATTTACGTCGTAGATGTCTATGGGCTCCAGTAACCACTTAACACCAAGTGGGTCTTGAGCTCGCAATAAAAAAAAAAAAAAAAAATTGCGACCCGCCCTCGCTTGGCTTCGGAAACATTAAAGTTTATTATTGATAGCTGAACCCCGCGATATTAGCCGCGGTTACTGTCGTACCGCGGGTGACGCCGCGGGGCAAAGCTAGTCTTAAAAAAGTAGCCCAAGTTACTCCTTATATCATCAGCTACATATCAGTGAAAGTCTCGTCAAATACGGTCCAGCCGTTCCAGAGAATAGCCGGAACAAACAGACAGACAGACGGACAAAAATTGTAAATATGTTATTTTGGTGTATGTCCGTATATACCTATATATTACCGTATATACCGTATTCATATGCATGTAGTAAAAAGCGTTTATCTCAATATTACAAACAGACGCTCCAACTTTATTTATATGTATAAATTTATATAACAAACTTCTAAAAACTTAAAACAGCAAATAGGTTTATGATATTATGAATAGTGCATAAATTAATATCAAATATACGTTTCTAAATACGATAACACTGAGACACGCCGTGAATATTTAATGCAATCTAAACAGAAGTTACGCTCGTATTGCATTCATCTGTGTGCGGAGGAAAACTATAATTGCAAGAGCAGACATTGCTAACATTTCATAGAATGTTCTATTTGGATGCGGGTAGACGAGATAATGTCTCAGATGGTGTAAAGTGGTTGGTTGAGTCCATAGACATCACAGCGTGTCGCCATCCACCATAAAAATGATAACATAAAGTCGAACTTGCATTTGTATTGTAAAGTATATCTTAATACTAAAAGGACTGAGACTGTGTCGTAGCAGAAATAAACAGAATATACCGGGACGCTTGGGCTCACAACAAATCTTACTTTACTATTACACGACATTATTCTTTCATCGTGGAAGTCATCAATAAACAAATACTACATAAGTGTCTAACACGTATCTTAGAAAACTGGTGACTGCATAATGTAAACCCTGGTAGAGTCGCGTCATTCAATACATGTACACCGGACGCCTTATCCTTTACGCCCCAACGACTTGTACCTTGAGCTTGTGATTTATCTTTGTCATAGTTTGTTATCCATTTTATTTCGAATGAAAAGATTTCTTACCTGCAGCCTGGCTGTCTTCGCTGGGTCTTCTTTCTTTCGATACCAAAGGCTCTTGAAATGTCAATGTAAGACTACCTCTGGGACTAACTCTTGCAGCTTCATTTTCAATTGCCACAAGACTACCTCTAGCACTTCTTTCAGAGGGAGCAATACTACCTCTCGGACTCCTCTGCGAGTCCGGAATCAAAGATCCTCTGTGAGTTCTGTTTATTTCTTCTTTTTTCATATTTAAGTCAGGGCCGACACTTCCACGAGGGCTCGTTCGTGGACTAGGGCCTAAATCCTTTTGAGCGCGTGCTGGATCTAACTGGATGCTGGCCACGGAATGCCTTGGACTTCTTCCCACATCGGGCACCAGCGAATTCCTGGGCTGGTTCCATAATGTACCTTCAGGCACCAAGCTTCTTCGCGGGCTTCTAGCTGACACGTCAGGAGTGATACTATTTCTAGGGCTCCTATTGAAATCTTGAGGGTTCAGACTCAACCTCGAGCCGTAATTAAGATCAACACCTAAATTGTTTCTGGACGGCGCGAGACTGTTTCTCATCGGCATTGCTGTGTCAGGCGTTATGGAATTCCGCGCTGATCTGACTTCGGGTGTTAAAGAATGACGCGGGCTTCTGTGGTAGTCCATGATTGCGTCTGGTGCGAGACTAGCTCTTGGACTTCTTTGAGGAGTTGGTTCCATTTCCTCGTCAGTTTCTGCTGTAGCTAGTGAAGCACGTCTGGAGGGTAGAGCTGAGTTTCTTGGTGATCTTGTCTGCGGCGATGTGGCGGCACTTCTTGACGCCCTACGTCGTCTTGAAGATGAAGTTCTATGTAGCATATTTATTGGCTCATAGCATTAGATCCAATCTTACTACCTTATTCAGACTCGTTGAATTCTTCATTACCTGTTAAAAGAAAATGATTTGTCATTTGAATCCGGGTTTACCATCGTGAGTAATTTTGATATTTTATAACTATTTGAAGGTTTTAAATATTTGACATTTAGGTTCCTTTTTTATTTATTGCTTAGATGGGTGGACGAGCTCACAGCCCACCTGGTGTTAAGTGGTTACTGGAGCCCATAAACATCTACAACGTAAATGCACCACCCACCTTGAGATATAATTTCTAAGGTCTCAGTATAGCTACAACGGCTGCCCCACCCTTCAAACCGAAACGCATTACTGCTTCACAGCGGAAACAGGCAGAGTGGTGGTACCTCCCTCACAAGAGGTTATGAAATTATGATTTTAGCATGTATTTATTGTACTAGAATCATACCCATACTAAACAACAATAAGTTTATTCAAACCTCTAGTTAAAATATAGACAAGCTCACGGTCCACCTGGTATTAAGCTATTACCGGAAGCCATAAACCTCAACGGCGTAAATTCCGACCCCCACCTTAAGACATGAGTTCGAAGTTTCGGTTTTATAGAGAAAGTTTTCTTACATTAATATTAAATAGAAAAGACAGAGAAGAATGTGTTCAAAACACAATATTTTCGCGACAACGTAAGTGTGAACCGTGAACTCCCGAGGCGCATATAAAATTTACTGCTATTTCTCAGAGCGAAATTTTCTATTTTCTCACATATCTTAAAAAGTATTCAACATTATTCTATTTCGTAGTTTCGGATACTCTGATGTTTTCGATACGAAGAGTACTTTTATGCTGTACTGTTTTCAATGATTTTTTCTTTAGATAGGAAAAGAACCTCTAGTTATAAATTGCAGCTCATACCGAAGACGTAATACGCGATCGTGGACAAAGCGATGAGACACTGGTCGATTTCTTGTACGGAGGTTCGAAGGTTCGGAGGTTTATTGGTGATAGGACCTCTTGTGAGTCCACGCGGGTGGGTACCACCATCCTGCCTACTTCTGCCGTGAAGCAGTAATGCGTTTCGGTTTGAAGGGTGGGGCAGCCGTTGTAACTATACTTGAGACTTAGAACTTAGACTAAGAACTTATATCTCAAGGTGGATAGCGCATTTACGTTATAGATGTCTATGGGCTCCAGTAACTACTTAACACCAGGTGGGCTGTGAGCTCGTCCCTCCATCTAGGCAATAAAAAATAAAAATAAAAAGCTTCAAAGCGTCAAAGATCATTTAATTTTGTTTTCGAAATCTTAAATGGTTCGACAGCGGAACGAACGAATCAATTGCTCATTTCCACAGCTCTGTTATCAGAAAAAAGTTTTCGAACTCACGCAGTCTGAGTAATGAGGCTCGTAACTCAAGGATAAAGTCAGACGTCGCAATCGCGGTATCATTAGGTGACAAATTTATCTTAAACTCTCGACATATCTTTGATTTGCTTTGCTTATCTAATTTCTATTAAATCTGCACGTATTTCTAGGTAGAACGGTGATAATCTAGCAAAACTACAGTCATCACCGGCAAAGTAGTAGCTAGGTAGTCCCATGCGCTGGTCCGACCAGATTAAGACGACATTGGACTTCGGCATCAATGTCGCTATCCATTGCGCGGAGGGCAGGAAGGAATGGAGGAACATAGTCCTAAAAAAATTGCTTCCTAAAAGTCACGACCCTCAGCATTATGGAACACGATGCCAGAAGGAGTAAGAGTACGTATTAGGCAGTCGGTTCACTATTTTCAATAAATACGTGTTAAATTAAACCAGCTGTATCTACATTTGCAACAAACTTTAAAAAATGCTTTGTTCTTGCTGATTCGTGGCTAAAAATCGAATTTCAATGGCGACCGGGCTGAGTTCCTGTAAAATTTATCAGGCCCATTTTATTCATTCCAATTCGCGGCTCTGTGGCTTTTTCGATTCGTCACGAACATTTTACGGGAAAAATTTGTTAGGTAATTATTTGATATTGAATATCGTATTTATTCGTAATCGAAGTGTATTTTCGGAAAGAGCTTATTGACTAAATTGAATTGGAAGACTTGAGCAAAAAATACTGCTACACCCGTAAGGTATCTACGGTAGGCAGCGGCTTGGCTCTGCCCCTGGCATTGCTGAAGTCCATGGGCGACGGTAACCACTCACCATCAGGTGGGCCGTATGCTCGTCTGCCTACAAGGGCAATAAAAAAAAATAGAGTAATACCATCTATCGCCGTATAGCCGAACGAATACTGAAGGATCTAGTAGCATCTAGAACGCTCGAGAAGTACAACGCCATCTATTGTCGGATAGCAGAAACATAATACTCGACTTGTGTGGAATATTCTCGATAATTCTAGGGTATCGGCTGTAAAAGCGTTGCAGAGATGGCACGCAGTCAGTCAGTAATCGGAACTACTCAAAGCGAAACAGCGAACGGATCACCTGAAGCGAAGCGGAAGAAGCTTTAAGTATGTTCTAAGTTTTCAGTTGTAATTTTGTGGGACATTTATTTATCCCGAACCCCAGCGCGTAACAATACTAAATGGTCGCGGATATTCTCTGGACCAGTCATAGTGGCAAGGCCTGGAAGAGGCGTTTGCGCTGATAAACAATTCATAGATATGCTAGGTTTTAAAATCAGCTTATTAAAACAGAGCCCTAAGTTTAGCCAAGTGTATTATACAAAAAAACTCAAGAATTGGTTGTTAGTTGATGTACATATTTATAAAAAATTTCTTTTCGGCCGCGGCTTTGGCTGTACAGACTATAGATCTAGTGAGCAGAGACCAATGCGTAGCCTTGAAATGAAAAGTAGCCTCACTTACTCAAGGACTCAAACTATTTTCTTAGCACGTTTAATCAAAATTGGTTTCAGACAGACAGCGGTTTGGACAGGCAGCGTTATTTTCTTATTAATAATATTGTTATTTGCTTTAAAACTTCTCACAGTATAAATGTAAATTTCCAGAAACCTCTTTTCCAGCATCCGATTTTAAAAGAGAAAAGCTTAAATCCTACTCCGAATCCACAGATAGACCCATGTTGTATGTATGTGAAAACGACATGAAAATCCATTCTATAGTTCCGGAGATTTGCGCAAACAAACAAATAAACAAACAGATATACTGAAAAGAATGCTCAAAATTTATAGTTTACATTCTAATACATTGTTACATTGTTACCTCTTTGTATTTTTATTACTTTTCTTCAATGTAGAAAGACCAACCGATTTTACTCATTAGTACTCATATGTATTAATAGAGCAGCATCTCACCAGCAAACTTAATCTCTAAAATTTTTATTTGAAATATGTTTTATGAATCTCAATTAATTAACAATTTGCATCTTGTGTAATTCTAATCAGTCCTTATATTTTCCAACGCTTATTTTAACTTATCCCAAATTGGAGAGGTCGTGAAGTGTTTAAATGTAGAAAATAAAACGCCTTACGAATCTAAACACATGTGATGATCTGGTAAAGTTAATTTGCGACTCGTAATTTTCAATTTCCAATACAGATGGGGGCGGGATAAAGGAAAAACACGGTGAACTCGAGATACGCGTCAAAATGGTGGCGGCAACATCCGGCGGAGGCTTCGAGGGGAGCACACCGGAAATTGCGGGCTCTCAATGCTTTTTTCGCTCACTCGATCCGTTTATAGACCGCGAAATGTGCCAAAGAAGTACGGATGTATTTCCGTATATATTTTTTCCTTTTCTTTAAAAATGCCTTTCGGTCGTGGCAGTTGGAAGTTTATTGTTGCTATAATCTATAGCATACCAGCTGACCCGACAGACTTCGTTGTGCCTCAGTCGATAAATAAAAGACCTAAACTTTTGTATAAAATAAACTTAAAACAAACAAAAGGAATCCGTCCGACGGGGGACACATGAAAGAAAAAACAAAATTGTTATTTTTATTTTATTCCGAGCATTTTCATATTTATCTAAACCTTCTCTGGACTTCTACAAATAATTCAAGACCAAAATTAGCCAAATCGGTCCAGCCGTTCTCGAGTTTTAGCGAAACTAACGAACAGCAATTCATTTTTATATATATAGATTATATATTCATTGCTGAGCATCTTTGAAAGTATCAAGTGAATCTATTTGATTATATTATTTTATTATTTAAGTTTATTTAGATTATTTCAGTTAATTATTTAAGATCATTTAGATTATTTCAGTTTAGCTACCGAAGCTTGCTCATTCAACAGTCTTCTAATCAATTCTAGACTACAGTGCGTTCCTCACAAATTTCAGTTGGCGAGTAGAGTTAGTTCTGCAGTGAGACCAGTAATCAAATAGGTTCGTACACTAATGGAGCCACGGTCCGTCTGATGGCATAATTAACTATTTTTACGATTGGATCTTGCGTTTATATTATCATTTTATTATTATTGACGCAGCGTTGGGCGTTGGGCGTCCCCCTGCCCGGTAGACCAATGACTTGTGGCGATTTTCTGGAGAAGATTGAAGGCGGAAGGTGGAGGATCGTTCATTGTGGCGGACTATGGGAGAGGCCTACATCCAGCAGTGCAGAGATACAGGCTGATGATGATGATACGACGAATACTGTATAGCTTTCATGGTCACGGAGGACATTCGTAAAGTAACATAGAAATAGTTTTAAATAATGAATACGAATCATGAAAACCGAATAAAATACTATACCTGGTGTATCTTCGTTTATTCTCAATCTTATCTCAAACTGTGGTATTAAGTGGTTACCGGAGCCCATGGACATCAACAATGTAAATTTCACCACCCACCATGAAACATGATGTCTAAGTCTCACTTGTGTAATGACTGTACCACACTTCAAATAGCATGACTGCGTCGCGGCTAATTAGCCAGGATTGTGGTACCTTCTCCTTTCGGTCTACAATATGCCTTACAGTAACAGATTCGAAACTTTTAACAATGAAAGGAAAAGCTTTTCAAATGAACCGCCTTAGACAAATTTAATCAGCTTTTGTATTCGAATACTTCCCGCAGGTAATCAAAATGTCTGTCAAGTACCTAATTAAGTTATAAT